CAATCACTATGACACTTTCACTGCACTCACGATCACTATTTTATAAATTGTGTGACTTTTGACACCAACAGGCTGCACCTGTGTTGAATTAGGTGAGTCAATTTAAAGGACGTGAACACTTATTTTACATTTTGACACCTCTTCAGTGCCGAAAAGCTGTGAAACATGTTGGTGTTTGTCTGCCTTGAAATTTGAGATAGAAGTTGTAATTTTGAACTGAGGTCCGCTCTCTCATTACCGTGAAAGTTCTGTTGATGGTGAAGTTGGTGATGATCCGGGCGTCTCTCCGAGTTTGCCTCAGTCGCTCTGGGCCGGGAGCTTTGACGAAGATCACGTAGGGTTTCAGTTTCTTCGTCCGCAACAGCTGGATGCTCTGAAAGTAAAACGACATTTAAACCAAAGCTTTTGGCACGACTTGGTCTCATAGAGCAAAACGTGTGACTTCCACACAGACAAATAAAACTTCTAAACCTTAAGGTGTAGAGAAACCTGAGATGTATCTGTCATAGACTGTATGTTAACACTGACTGGTTTCTCTACAGGTGGTCAAAGTCAGATCTTTATAGATATCAGCATGAAATTCCTCAGTTCATTACTTACAATGCAACATGATTTCTGAAATGTAATATTTATATTTAGAAATGAAGCATCACATACCTAAAAAATGCCCTAATTTGCATTAATTTCCAGAGCGCAAATCTAAACATTTAATTACAATATTAAGGAATTGGTGTTTGGTTTTGTTGACATATGAGAGTCAAGGTGTTTTGTTTGTTTGTTTGTTTTTGGACATTAAAAATAAATCAGAAAATAGTTTTAACAGACAAACAAAAAATATATTTTCATATGTTTTTATGACTAAGATGTTCTATAACTCCGGCTGTAAATGACATATGAACAAAACACTTTGTAAAATTGGTCAGAACATAGACAGAAGTGCAGATTTCTGGTTCACAGTAGGACAGAAAACTCTTCGAGGAAACCACCTCTCAAGATGTCTAGAGTGAAATTCAACGTATTTGTTTTAGAAAATCTGCTTTTTAGTTCATAGACATCACTACGAAACTTCCCCAGTTGATTAATTATCTCATTAAATGTGCATTAATGTCCAGTCGACACCTCGACGTAAGTTTTTCTTTCCACTCGTCCGTTACGGAAGCAAAAATATCCCAAAATCTCAAACGTGACCACCGCATTAAAGAGCAGCGTTGGTGCCTGAAGCCTCGACGAAACTCACGTGTGGCTCAATATCGACGATGCACATCCGTCCTCGCTTCAGGACTTCGTCGATGCCGTCAGTGCTGGTTCCATACAGCTGACCTTTACACTCCCCGTACTCGACAAACCTGAACACAAATGGACACAAACTTCAGCGACGAACAATAACTACATACAACACTGCAGACATAAGTAGCCATAATGCAGACAGAAGACAGGAAGGAGAGGATACCTGTGGTTACAGACCATGTACTCGAACAGCTCTTTGGTAACAAAGTGGTATTCTTTGCCCGACTGCTCCCCGGCTCTGATTGGACGAGTGGTGTCTGGAGGAACAGAGCGACGGTTCTACAGTTAGGAAAGGTGTTTGATCATCCGCTGATGGTACCGAGGATTAGTCCAGCACCATAAACTAAAACCTTAAAGGGCCATTTCATTGTTTTTAGTCATAATTGCAACCAGCAGCCTACTATGATGCCACATTAAACCATTTTAATAACATCTGCCTGCCTGCAAATGTTCCAAAAAAATAATTTCCCCAACATTATTCTACAGGGGCACCGTCCCTGCATCCTGGGCTGAGCACCGCCCACTGTGATTGGTTTAAAGACACAAACACAGTTTAGAGAATCCCGCTAGGATTGGCTACGTAAGACTAGATTTAAAGTTAGACACTGAAACAGCCCACTGGGAACAGCGATAAAACCAGATCAAGAATTAAGAATCTGTGCTGTATTTTGAGCTGGAACTTAAAATTCAAATTCTGTGTTTTTGTGTCGTTGGTCACGTACGAGGGACGGGACTCTGGAAGGTCGAGGGGTTCAGTTTGATGAGTCTCTTCCTCAGTTCGTTCACTCCGACTCCTGAAGCTCCTTCAAAGAGGAAGAAACAACACAGGAGGAGATTTAATCCACGATTACAAGGACACAAACACAGAAATAATAATGTGCTTGACTGTTTTTCAGGTTTTTTTGTAAAACATAAAATTGGAACATTCCTGGATAACAATAACTCGGGTCAAAGAGCTTCTACATACTGGTGCATGAACCATCACAGAAACATAAGAAATGATTGTGGTAATTACCAACACTGTTAATTCAGGGCAGCTGTGGCATAAACCTGACACTGGGTGGTGGGCTATTACATTTATTGTTCTTTAAATCTTAAATTCAGTATTGCCAAGGCTGTGGGATTTGTGAGATATTAAACAAAGAGAGATTATCTTGATAAATATCCTGACTTTTAGACACATTTTCCCATTATAGACTGCCTTGATTATGAAATATAAAGATTTTCTCTTGTAAATGAGAAGACTTCAAGCCTAAAAGACAAAAAAGCCCCCAAAACATTAGCTTAAGCTCCTCTTATACGATCCAACTTTTAGTTGACTGATACTCGGAAACATGCTGGTCGATGCCGACTTTGGACACAAAACTGAGTGAAACCAGTTCTGTGGGTTTCTGTTCTCTCACCGACGAGGATGATGAGGCGGTGGTTCTCCTGCGGGGGGCGCTGGTACAGGGCCACCTCCTCGTAGGGGGTGTTCAGAGCGTTGCTGTTGGGCGAACAGGTGGTGCAGGACTGACGTCGCTTCCTGTAGGACGTCCTCCTCCACAGACGGAAGCTCCGTCGGAAACCAGCTGATGGAAGCCAAGAACACTGTCGTTCAATAAGTGCATCTTTGTGGCAGCAAAGCAGATTTAATCATCTGACATAACCTCCAGGTGTAAAGGTGAACTAATATATCCAGCAGCCAGCAGGGGGCGACTCCTCTGGTGTCTGATTGTGTAGAAGTCTATGAGAAAATGATCCGACTTCCCACTTGATCCGTTACCTCAGTAAACATTTTCCTGATGTGATCATCGTCTCAATCTTTAGTTTTAAGCCTCTTTTAGTGCTGCAAGGTGTTAATTTCATAAATTATGGTTCAATTTAGAGTCAAATAGACTAAAAAAACAGCGTAAAGTTGGGCAGCAACTTCACCGATTGCTCACATCACAGTCGCTGTGTCCATCTTTCATTCAAAGTTCACGGTTATTTCACACCACGTATGAACAACATCTTTTCCTTAAACCCAACCTTAGCCTGTTTACTAGCATTATAACTATGTCATCAGTTTGACAGCGTTATAACAAACGTATAAAGCTTAAAAATGCAGACACCTGACCTGAAAAATGTGCTTTAAATGACTTTTATTTATATGCAATCCCATGACATCATAATTTTATGTATAATAATATTATTATACATAATACTATAGCTGCAATTAGCAGATATTGTTAAAAAAAAACATTTTGATGAAACAGGAGTTCATTAAAATCGTATTTTATTTTTGTAAGCAACAATTTATCTCTATTCTTGTTCTCATTGTTTTATTCTTCCATCAACATGTAGAGCTGCAATGATTAATTAATTATTTGTCAAATACTGAATTAAGTGCTGTTTGATAATCAATTTGAGCTATTTTAAAAGGGAAAAAAAGAAGGTTTGTAATGGTTGGAGAACGGGCCCAACATCGAGCCCTGAGGAACGCCACAAGTAGAAAGAGTGATTGATGAGTTATCAACCATTAAATCATTCTGATAATCATTTTAATCAGTTTTAACGTAATAAATAGTCTAAATTCTGACACTTCAGCATTTTAAATAATAATATTTTCAGTTAATTTACTCATTTATGACAGTAAACTGAACATCTTTGGGTTGTGGACAAAAGAAGACTTTTGTGGTTTTGGGTTTTTAGGAAACACTTATTAAACATTTTCATCATTTTCTGACATTTTATAGACTAAACAACAAATAAATTATTCGAGGCAATAATTGACAATGAAAATAACCTAAAATTAAATTTATTAGCAGTCTATCTAATCACGCGATCACTGAATGTGTCTTACCCAGGTAGATTCCTTCAGTAATGTCAGAGTCGGCCTCATCTGAGGGAAAGAAACATTCAAACTCTTCATTCTGGACATTTGATGTGGTTTAATGCTGCTTTTTTTTTATTAAACACACAAGAAAATAGTTAAAAGAGACAATCATTTACTGTAAAACATCTAAAACACAAAACAAAAAACAAAACAAGCAAACAAAGTGATGAAATGTTGATTTTTATGTTTGTATTTAACAAACCAAATCCCAAAGTCTTCTCAGTTTAACGCTATTATTGGGTCTGAACACTGGATTCTATCGATCACATTAAAAAAACAGCACAAAGAATCAAAACCAATCAGACGTTTTTATCTGCAGCTTTTTAATCAGACATTTGAACAGGACAGACTTACCTACCAAAGTTTATTTCTTCCAAATCTGGAGAAAAGAGAAAAGTCGTGTTTACATCTTTTGCTCTGATGAACGATCTTCAGGATAATTAAAACAGAATCAGTGTGTGTGACACCTTTTACCTGTTATGGTTCGTTTATCGTCTCCGGCTGGTGGATCGTCCTCTGAAAACAGATTTTAAAAAAAGACACTTCTGTGAGTTCAGGCTTGTTTCTGCAGAACCAGGCGTCAACACGGCGGCTAAACAGGCAGGAACGCAAAAGACATTTACATGGGTTCATGCTGCTGCACAGTGATAATATGATGATTTAAAGAAAAGCAGGACGTAAAGTAATATTACCGCAGCAGAACCAGGTCAGTTTAAGTCACACTGTGCATTTATTTAACGCTAATGTTCTGTTTGGAGTCCAGGAAACCCTTTAACCAGCTTACAACCGGTGTGTTTGCACGATTTAAGAAGCAACTTCAGGAGTTATTGCTGTAATTTAGCTGCAGTTTGTTGCAAAAAAATTTGTATGTTGTTCATAAAAATGCATGTAGCATCGTTTAATCAGCTCGATAACGACATTTAATTCGATGCAAACTGATTATAATTCTGATTTTGAACTGGTTTCAGACGTCTGCAACAGAAAAGACTCAACATTTAGGTTTGTGGCGCCACAGACCCCAAAACGTAAACACGATTAAACACATTTAATGTTTAAAGTGCACATATTATGCACATTTACAGGTTGATAATTTTATTTTGGGGGTCTACTAAAACATGTTTATATGCTTTAATGTTCCAAAAATGCATTCTTCTTTTCACATTTCTGCAGCATCTCTTCTCAGCTTCTGTCAGAAACGTTTTAGCTGCTGTCTCTTTAAGGCCTCGTCTGCTCTGATTGGTCAGTTTTCCAGGTAAGGCAGGTAAAGTTAGTCGTGTGCTATAATCCCAGCTCTCTGAGGAAATACTGTTTGTTGTGCAAAGAAGTTGCTCGAAGCAGGATTCATGCAAATAAGCTCCACTGTGACATAGATGAGTGACGGAAGAAAATCATGGACTTTAAACGAGGTGTTCAGTGTGTGTGGGGCAGAATAACTGCCCTTGGTGGGGATTTGTATGTTTGCAAAGCTTTTAAATGCACAAAAAGCAGCTTTATAACCCAATGAAGGAATAAAAGGAGAGTACATGCTCTTTAAGGTCACGTTCAGGTGAAATAACAACAACTAAACGGTCACGAACCCACAAAAAATCACATGAACACACAATAAACTACTGAATTAAATGAACACAAAGAAGAAAGTGTACGAGACCCACCGTTATCAGCCATCTGCACTGAGGTCAGCAGGTCAACAGAGAGGAAGGAAACTGCTGTTAGGCCCATTTTTAAGTCACATTTGTGGGGATTTACACACAGGAGGGGAGCATAAACCAGTCGGTTACATGATTTGGGAAATTTCTGGAGGCCTATTTCTGTTCCTCTGTGTCTTCACAGATCTGATTGATTCAAGCAGGAGGATAGTTAACGATATCAGCCAACAATAATAATCGAATAATAAACGTTCTTGATGCCAAGAAACAACCAGACAAACTAATAAACATGAACACTTTTCATGCGTTTGCTTCTTTTTTCTGCTCATCTTCTCATTATTACGAACGAAGGCCGAATCAAATGTTTTGTTGTTTCTATAAGTAGTCACAAGTTTATCATGTTGAGATCAGCTTAACAACTGTTCATCTGCTGTAAACCACCAGGAGAGCACATTAATACACACTGAGGTTAGAGATAACAACAACACTAGTGATGAGTCCTTACAGGGTCTGATGCAGGTGTGAACCTGCAGCGGTTGACGCCACCACTGCTCCTTCTGTTTGCTGTAAAAGTAAAAAAAAAAAAACACCTTAATACAACTAGTCAGAGATGGAAAATGCAGGAAAATTAATTACATCAGTGCTCAGATCCTCCACTTGAGTAAAAACACTCATATGGTGATAAAGAAGAATCCCTTACGAGTAAAAATCAGCAAATACGGTCGACTTTTTTGTACAATTCTAGGAGTGAAAATGCAGTAAAATGTCTCCCGTGACTGAAATCTGACATTATTAGAAATCTAACGTAGTCTGAAAAGGTTAAAGATTCATATTTAGTCAGCTGAGACATGGAAAAACAGCGTTACAGCTCTTTAAATGTGTTGAGAACAGCAACAGTAAAGCTTTTCTCACTGTTAAACTCAGAATGTCACGTCTTTATTCAAACCAAATACATCAGGAATATTTGGTAGAATATATGTATTTTTTCTACATATTCAAGAATCATTATCAGTGTTTTTGCACATATAGAGTTAACCTGTGCAATATTTCTTGTTGATTTTCCCCCTGACGTCAGTACATTTCTCTTCTATCACCAGGTTTCCCTACTACGGGATCAATAAAGGCTCATTTGATCTGTAAACCAACAGCTTCCTCGTGCTGCAGGACTGAAGTCCAGCAGGTTTGGGCTGGTTTCACCTCTTCAACATGCTGGCGGAGGGAATCAGGCCGGCGCAGGACGCAGCGCAGGGCAGCTTGCGGGCCTGCCACCACTGGCCGTCCGTCTGGTCCACCACCTCCAGCAGGTCGCCTCGGCTGAACGGCATCCCGGCATCGGGGCAGGGGATGGAGGCGTCCTGCAGGGGGCAATAGTCCACCATCGCCTTCATGTACACCTGAAGCAGAGACAGAGACGGGGGGAGGGACTTTATTTATTTAGATTTATATGAGGATTAAAGATTATAAATGGCATGTTTACTAAGACTCTCACGTAAGGCTTCATCACATAAAGACAGATATACATTAATATAATGAAAAAATTAAATATTAAGGGACAGAAACACAAGTGAAATATATATTTTAAAAAGCAATGAATAAAAGATTTATAAATATTTCAGATTCCACGTGACTGTCACTGTCAGATATTTAAAATATCTGTAAAATCAATCATTAAAGTAAAAGAAATTCTGCAATTACAAATAAAATAAAATAAAATAAAATGAAAATATTAAGCAACAGAAAGACTAGTGAGATATAATATAAAAAGCAGATATAAATAACGGATAAATAAATATTTCTGATTCCACATGTCTGACTCTCTGATTGTCACTATCTGATACTTAAAATTGCAAAAAAAAAAAAAAAAAAAGTCAAAAGTAAAAGAAATTCGGCAATTCTAAAATAAAATAAAATAAAATAAAATAAAAAATTCAATTCAATTTAAAAAATATTGAGGGACAGAAAGACTAGTGAAACATAAAAAACAAACAAAAATAGATATAAATAATAGATAAATAAATATTTCTGACTCCACAACTCTGAAACTTTCCGACATTTAAAATGTCTATAAAAAATCTTGAAAGTAAAAAGAAACTATACAAATAATTAAACAGACAAGTTTGTAGTTAATTAATGCAAAAAAAAAAAGTTTGAGTCATAATCTGACGCATTGTTGTATTATAACAAATGTTAAAATGTGAGGACTCTTAGTATTATATCTAGCAATGAGGCATGATTCATTTGTCAAATCTGTTTTTTTGTTTTTCCTGTATATTGTAAATAACAAGAAATGTGAATGTTTGTCATCAGTAAAGTGAATTTTCTTAAATTCTGCTGATTGGTGTGTGATTGTATTTTTACTGCTGCGCTGTGATAACGTGGTTGAAGTCGTATTTATTGTTCCCTAACATAACAAATCGCGAGTGATTCTTACCGGCTTCTGGTTGCTGCTGGCCTGACCTGGATTTGGAATGACTTTGAACAGGATGGTGCCGTAAGAGTTGGTCTGACAAGGAGAAAATACACAAAAAACACTTTGAAATCATAACAACAACGGAGCAACTTTATGTTCTTATGAGGTCTGTATTGCGAGTTATGCACAAAACTTATCATCCAAAGAAAACATAAAGATCATCTCAGGATCTTTTTTAATGTATTTTTAAACTGACTGTGTCGCATTTAGACAAGATGTACAGCTGAGAAAGCATACCACGATAAAAACAGACGATCTGCAACGACGACTGTAGCATCGGCCTCATCTTTAAAGGGGGAACCAGGTTTTAAGATCATCTCAAAAAGGGCTACACAGTTCTGGTTTATTTTCCTACTTGATCCCATTTTACACCAGAACTTCAATCAGTGTCTCAGATCACATCTGTTATAAATGTTTAATAGTAAGATCCAGAAGGAAGCAGATTTAATTTAAGAATCCTCCAATTAAACAACTTTTACCTGCAAAGATCAGAATTTGTTGAGAGTAACACGCTCTGCAAAAGACTTTCATATCGACTTAACTCAACTTGGCATTAACATCATGACAATTAAAAAGGAAAAAAAGTTTTAAGTGGAATAAAAAAATTCAAAAGGACGATAAAACAATGAAAAAATAGCAAAAAAGCAACGTATTAATTGTGTGTTAGTCAGTTTGTGCCATGCAGTCACAAACAGTGGATATAAAACATCTTCACAACCCTGTTATAAAAGCAGGTTTTTGTCTCAACCTTTTCTATCGTTATTGTAAAACTGCAACTGATATATGAAGGTGAAATGAGAATTACTTAAGGGGTAAAAATAAAATAGTAATAATAATAAAAAGATACAATAACCTAGTATTGTATTGCATAACTGGGTTTGTTTTTTATCGTCATCTGATTATTAATTGTGTGTTTTAAAGTTCATAAGATGCTAAAATCTCAACATTTCTATCATATTCTGCTGCTGCTAAACAACTCTACTTTAAAAGAAAACTGTTTGATTTGTGTATTTTCATTCGTTTAACCCTCAGGTGACCTACCAGTATCTGGATGACCTGCTCTGGCTCCAGGCCTCCCACTGGGTTTCCATTCACCTCCACTAACAGATCACCGGGATGGAGGAGTCCTGACAAACCAACAAACCAACGTCAGTCCAACAAGTTGCACATTTACAATCCCTGTACGCGACACTTTTACGGTTTTTAACCTCACCGCTGCGATCGGCCAGTCCTCCGTGAATCACCCGGGCGATGTAGATCTCTCCCGTCTCCTCATCCCTCTTGATCGTCGCCCCCTGATGGAAGCAAAGTTCAACAACCTTTAAGAACCACAGTAGCAGAAACTACCGGCTTCTAGTAGAACTTCATCAGTAAACAGGAAGCAGATGGAATATTAATGGGGAAGGAATGCAGACTGAGGATATGATGAACACAGATGACGCAAAACCTGATATCCATTCAGGAGTACCTTGGTTATGTACAGCCTTTTGTTTGTGTCTTATTTTATCCTTGTCCACCAAACAAAAACATATAAATATAACAATACGTTTTTCCCCTTCATGTGGTCCAGATAGAGTCACAGGTAGAAACAAATGAACTAAACTAAGAGTCAACAGCCACATCAGGAGGGTTGCAAAGTCTTTACAGACCATCTTGTGTGGAACATTAAAACATTTATTTATTTATTTATCCCGTTAACGTCTGTTGGGACGCTAACAGTGTGTCAGACGATGCACGGTTGCTTCACAGTTCCATTCGCCATTTATCCCTATCAAAGGCATCATCAGGGGTAAGCCCCCAGTCCGCTAGGTCCCCTGACACCAGCTCCTCCCATGTTTTCCTGGGTATCTCCCCTCTTTCTTGAACACTTCTATTTCCAGGCGTCCCACTCTCTAAACCATTACTACGTACTTCCATGACTTTGTTGGAGCAAAGATTTTACGGATGGATGCCCTTCCTAACGCCAACCCCCAACCTGGAGGACCAGGGGATCACTCTTAGTCTGATCCCTACCTTCCGACCTGTTCGGCATGGGGTGACCCTACCAGGAATACCAGGACTCCAGCCAACATAGCTCTAGAGGTCAATGGGACACACAAACTGCCCCACCACGATAAGGTGGCGATCCCAACGGGACAGGATACCAAAATACCAAAGTTCAATGCATCCAGCAGTTGTGGAGACACGTTACTCAAAACCACATGGGTCAACCAAGCAGTGATCATAGACGAAACATTAAGGAACTACAAAAGCGGTTTGGTTTCACTTCCTGGGTGTTTAACAACAATACATCCAATATTCATCAAGACATTATACTAAAAAAACTAAAGTACAGGGATCACCAAAGTAAACAAACTTGATCTTTCTGGATAAATAAATGTCCAAAGAAACACAACAGCAGCGCACTGGACAGTTGAGATGTTTGGGAATGGATCAAAGTAGTGAACCAACAAACTGACCAGTCAAACTGACAACGCTAGAACCAAGCAGCCACTATAGCTAAAGTCTCATTGCTAAGCTTAAGAAGGAGTTCATGCAATCCTGGAAATCAGTCATAAAGTTTCAGAAAAACATTTTGCACAAATCTCTAGAAATGTAAGGACTCATTATCGTACAGCTGCCTTTCCTGCTCCATTAAAGAAGAAAGAAAGATGTTTTAATGCATCACAACTTCACAACAAGACGCGGTGATAAAGAAAACGGCATAGAGTGAAATGGAGTTGACGAAAAGAGTGATAATTTAAGGAAAGCTGTATGATATGGGAACTGTGGATTTTGAGAATGTGGTTTATTTTTACCTTTATATTATTTGCTTTTTCTACCTCGAGTAACCGTCCCAGGAATGTAAGACCAAAAAAAAAAAACACACCAAAACGTTCCTCTTTGAAATGTTTGTTGTCCAAGAATCCAAAATAAATCTGCTGTTGGCATAAGACACAGCTAGTGAGCTAATAGTTGGGATCCAAAAAGTTCTACATGGTTTCCTGTTTGTGGATTATGCTCTTCAAAACTACTAGTCGTATTAAAGTCAGTTTTATAGTCTTTTTCCAATACCAAAGAGGCAAAAGAGGAGATCGTTTGGCTACTTATTTTTCTTTGTTTTCTTCTTCGTTGTCAAGCAGCCTGTCCTGTTACTGTCCTGCTGGTCCTCCAGATGAGCTCTAGAAACTGTCCCATTGTTGAACCTCACCTGTCCATTGCTGCTGCTACCGCTACCACCTGCCCTCTGGGGGCCACCGTAGGCTGCTGCCGTCCTTTTGGATCCTCCATTCATTCGCTGTGGACTCCTAGACATTGCAAAGCCGTCGGCACAGGAGGTGGGAGACGTGGACGAAGACGAGGAGGAGCAGGAGGAAGACGTGGAGAGCTGGTGTGAGTATGGCGTGGGAGGTTTGCGGACTACTTTGGGGGATAACGAGGAGACTCTCGGAGGAGGTGTGGGTTTATTTTGATGTTTTGGTCGGTGTGGGGGCGATGGCTCCTGGTATTTTTTGGCTACGATGAGACCCTGGAGTTTGTCGACCACCTCGACGAGCAGGTTGAGCGCCTGGGCGTTGTCCTCCACATTGTCTGTGATCATCTCCGTCGCCGCCATCATTTTCTGGCCGAGCTGGCGAACGTCCTGGCTGCTGTGCTCGATGTTGCTGGCCACCGCTTGCACAGTGGACCTTAATTCCTCTACGCTGCACTGTCTGGAGAACTCGGGAGGCTGAGGAGGCTCGTTTCGTGTCTGTTTTGGTTGACATCCGTTGTGACGAGGAGCTGTGGAGTAGTGGATCCCCGAACAATTTAGAGGATCTTCTTGGTGTTTGTTATGAAGCCCATGTTTCCTCATGGGGGTAGGGAGAGTGCTAACCCCTTTCTGCCGAGTCGAACGCTGAGTTGCAGGACTAGAAGGTGCAGTGTGGAATCTTGGAGGTTTCGTACCAGGAGAAGAAGGGGTTCGCCCGGGTGTAGGAATGTTCCTCGATTGACCCCCTGTAGTGCCCTTTTTGTACAAGACAGGAGAGCTGGGAAGGCTGAAACTGTAAGCTGGGACTGGTGGAGGAGGATAAGCGTAGTCATCACTGCACCTTCCGGTATAGGCACCTTCCCTGCTGGGTTTGGGTTTCTCTGAAAATTAACCACCACAAAGGGAGGCAAAAGAAGGAGTTTAATGCCCACAGCAAGGCAGGAAACAGTAAAAATGGAGCCATAAGATGAAAAGATGAAAACTTGGTGGCAACTGAACGATGGTGAGGAGAACTAGTGAGCTTATAAGTGATGAATGAGCTGGTGGCTGCTTGCCAATGCTGGATGAATATAAAGATTTGCCAAACACATCTTGTGGTTGGGATGTCCTGGTCAAGTTGGTATTTCCTTTCAATGCAATCCTGGTCATTTAATTTTACAAGTATTTTGGGTTTTTTTTAAATCAAGTATTGCAGATCTGCTGTAGTACCTGCTTGCACCACCAGGTGGAGCCTCTTATTGTTTAATGCTGTCGTAATCAGAGGAGGTAAGTACTTCCATGTTGATGAGCGGAGAGCATTGGGAGGGTTTAGAGTTTTTGTAAGGCTTAATGACCTCCAGTCAGCGAACGTATAAAATAAGTTGGGACCAAGCAGGACACCATTCGTATGTCTCAATAGTATCCGTAATGGATGCTTCTGTGACCTGTATTATGTGTCTGCAGCATTCCCAGTGATATTAGTGTGGAACTAAATATAAGGTGGGCTGAATTAATATTACGAACTCATGACTTTTTGAAAATGCTGCACAAATTAAGTACATTTATCAAAATGACAGTGGACAGTGGATGTAAATAAAGGATAGGGCTTAAGTTCTTCCCGACACCGATCAGTTAAAAATTGCTGTGATTGGCTCCGATAGGACCCCCAGTTTGTAGGCTACTATTTTGATGCCTTAAGTTTGGAATTTTTCACCATGTTGGTGTAATAAAACCAGACATAATTAATGAGGGTTGGATGTGACTAAGACTTGGAGGAAGCTATGGACAGTGACACAACAGCAAACTGGCAATCATGAGGTTGCCCTGCATTACAACATATCTGCCTCATCGTCTATTTCACTCGAAATGGGGCCATAATTTACAAAAAGAACACAATACTGTATTCAAAAAGTCTTAAAAATAGCGATTGAGATGATAAACTTATTGGGGAAATGCTTCTGAGGTAACTAGGGCTGTTCTTTCATACTGGACTTCTTTTAGCCAACTGAGGACTCACCCCAGGAGGTTAATTAGTAATGACTGAAGGAAGCAGGGATGTACTGGGCGATGTCTTCATGAAAACACAGGTTGATGGACAGGTGGTGAACATTTCTTCACCGTTGCTCCTTTGGTGACGAAATGGTTTAACGAAAGTGAAAAAATGGACCAATGACTGGTGACAGATGGACTGACTTTCTCCTCGTCTTCCTCCTCTTACCCGTAGACGTCACAGGACTAAAGACGGAGGGAGCTGATTGGTTCAGCCTCTGACTTTCTGCGGTTTGCGGACACGAACAGCAGCTTCCTGTTGACTGATAGCGGGGGAGGAAGGGGTGAGGCTGGCCTCCTCTGGGGAGAAGGCTGGCGTCGCCATCGGTCGCTCCGAGCTCCTCCCCCGACCAGGCCCTCCTGGCTGGGACGAGGCGCTCCAACGTGAGGCGACGGAGGCTGCTCCAGCGGCTACGAACCAGTCCTACCCCATCGCCTACACTCCCTCCTCGCTCCTCTCCCCTCTTGACAAACAAAACATCAGCGTTCTTGTGGTTTAAAAAGAATCTGTTACAATAAAAATTTGGTTTACCGGGGTACTTTAAAAGGTTTTTGGCCTCACCCATAGACAAGGTGCATAACTATTTTATATATATATACTATTTTTCTTGTAATTCAGTTTAGTTTTATTTATATAGCGCCAGTTTATAACATATGTGATCTCATAGCGTTTCACACAGGAAGGTTATGAACTTTAAACCCAAAAACCCAAAGAATCTGTCGTGGAAAAAATGATCTACATGTGTTAATTTTTCATGTTTCAATCACATATTTAATTTTTAGACTGTTTTTGAATTAATTTACTAAAATTAACAGTAATAATACTCCCAATGGTAATGCCATTACTTTCTCATGTTGTTAGTTATGTGTCTGTGGACTTTCACCCAGTAGACTGAAGGAATGCTCTTTCACAACAACCTCTTGTTATGAAACTTTCCACTGTTCTCACCATCAGGTCAGACTGACCTAAATTGACTACAGAATTATCATCTTTCACTGCTGGTTCACGGCATCACAGAAAGTCCCTAAACTTTCTGGCTGGATTAGTAGATACTTCATGATCTACTGGACTGACGAAACCATCAATAATCAGGAAGAGAAAGAGCCTGATTTGGATTCCCTTTGAGCGAACACTTGGAAGGAACCCATAATACCAACAATCAAACCTCCGGCAGAACCAGGTTCAGGGAGGGTGGTCGTCTGCCTCCACCGGTTAGGGTGGAGATAACTACAACAAACACAAGGTAACCCTTTAAAAACCTTTTATCAGTGTCCACAAAGACTCAAATGTTTGTTGTCATTTCTTTTCTCCTCCAAACTCTTTTTTGGATAGCAACATAGCATTTTATAGCCTATAGCAAGTATACAAACGCGTGTGAAGACGATGTTTAACAAGCAGTCTTGAGTTTCCAATGACTCCTGTAACTCTGGTTTATTTATTTTAGCTGGCCTGCATCAATTCTGTCCAGAGGAGGGTCAAAGATTCAATGAGAAGCGCCCAGTTGAGGTGAAAATGGCCAAAGGACAAATATTAGCATTGTTGTGTGTATTTTGTTGATCCAACAGATTTTGTCGTATTTCTAGAAGACCTGTAATAAATCTAAAAAAAGAACCAAGATGTTTTTTTTTCTTTTGTTACGAAGATGCATTTGTTTCGATGATTCCATGACAGAAAATTCAGAGTTACAGAAGTCATTGGAAAGTCAGTACAGCCAGAATATACATGTGATCCTTACAGGTGGATGGAAACATTTGGTCATGACTGTAAATGTTTTCTTTTGAAGTATCCTCGTACTTATCAGTGACAGCTCATTGGTGGGCTGGTGAGGCTTCATTCTTTCATCCTGATGCAGAAGGCTTAGTTATGTTTCATATGAAATGTAACTGTCAGAGAAGGTAGACACGACTTCACATCAAACAAAGGTTTTATGCAGACTCATGAAACATCCTTGACTGCCCTAAACTGAAAAAAGATGCTTCTTCCTCACCAGAGGCTGGTTGTTCTTCACGAGGCAGACGATCCTCATGGCCTCCTCGTCCTCAGGTAGGTCTTCAGGTAGAGGCGGCAGGTCGGGTTCATAGTCTGACTGTGCCACGCTGTCGTGGGTCGACAGGAGGGCCTGGCAGAGACAAACACGGGCTTTAACGGAGCATCAGACGGGAGTTATGCCGAGGTTTGGGAGGTTTAAAAAGATTTAATACCTGGATGTGTGGCGAGCTGAGGAGGCCGTAGAGTTCTCTGGCTTCAGCTGAAGGTCGGTGAGTCTTCTGGATCACTGTCATGATCTGAGGAAGCAGTAAAAGGACAGACAGGAAGTCAGAATTATGGTAAAACTCTGCACTGTATGAGTCCGACAACTGAGGTACCAAAAAACACCCTGAAATCAGTAACTTCACATGAATGAAATACATTTTCTCACCTTTATATCTGAGGTAATGTGTATTTTTGGACTTTTTAATGTTTGCAAGGTGCAGGACTTTATGCTGGAGTGGAAAATGAACCACAGTGAGGAAAAACTATGACAGGAGCAAGAAAACCAACCAGAACCTGTTTGGAGTTCAGAGGGTTTAACAGTAAGGTCATAGCCTTGTATGGGCAGTATGTTGTCTGTATATGGTTTAGGTTTGGTCGGTCTGTTGCGTTAAGCTTGAATGCATGCACATATTAGCACTCGGAAAGCAACTCGTGTCGTCTTCCTTCAGTGCTGGTTGTGTACACGTTGATACCTCGTGTGAGAGTCCTGAGGCGTAAGGCAGGAAGGGGCTCGGCGACAGTCTCTGGAACTGCAGCAGGCACTCGTAAATCTGCGGAGGAGATGAAATCATCAGCACAGCGGTGGTTAAAGTGTCGGTGCAGGACGGTGGAGTCCGGTACCTTCAGCAGGGCTCGCAGCCACGGAGCGCTCAGGAGCTCGTAGAGCAGCTGAGCGCCGCTGATGTTCCTGTCGACGGCTTGACCGACGTCGTCCACGACGCTGGACAGAACCTCGCTGACGCCTGCAAACAGGAGAAAACATCTGGTGTCTCACAGCCTGAGAGCATTTAGGCTTTTCCATCTTTCTTATCATAAACTATAGAAATGTAAAATAGTATCTGTGAGATGTTGGATCATCAAGTTTCACACGTTGAACTTCGAGGCTGTTTGAACAACAATATCTCAGGAACGTTTACGGATAAAAGCCTGAAATTTTCACTGTTATTTCTCATCTCGTCATTGATTGAGAATCTGTAATATTTGACAAAGTAGATCAAATAATCTGTAATTATGAGTGAGCTGAAATCTGAACAAAGTTAATTAAAAGTCTCATCTTTGAGCTCACGTTTTCAAAAAATGACGAGCCAACTAGAAAGAGAATCTTAAATATGAAATAGCATGAAATACAGATATACAGAAAGATGTTTGCAAACTTCTAGTTTGATTTATCAAACAATCAAAAAGAAATTGCCCCTCGACTTTTTGGAAAATTGATATTTGAAACTGTTTGAACAACAAAATCTCAGAAACTATTAAAGGTAAAAGCCTGAAAGTTTCACGCCCAGAAAAATTATACAAAACTACACGACAGGTCTCCAACAAACCAGCAAGGTTTGTGTCTTCAAAGTGGGTTCCAAACGTGAAAACTATACCTAGAATATAAAACTTTAGTTATCGTTGGAGAACTATTTGAACTCTACTTGGATCAGTCCAGACAGCGATATCTTTGACTTAGTTTTTGTGGAATGAACTGATTTATTAACGACATAGTTGCTGATAATGTGCTGAAAGTTCATTTTAAATCAATTAACACTGATATCTCAGTTTAAATTACAAACTATATGAAGTTATTATGTCGACTCAAATCACCAAAATACTGTCTGAAAATGGATCTAAATCAATAAATTAGAATTTCTATCCTGAGAATCCTGCAAACATCGTGCTGAATAATCTTTAGATTGTACATTTTTTGGCTTTACGGGGTGACAGCAGTCGTCTCATATCTCAACAATTACTAGAACATTTGGTTTAAACGCTCGTGGTGCTGAGAGGATGATGCCTGCTGGCTTTGGTGATGCAAACCGATGAGCACTTCTGCATCTCAAGGATTGAAGGTTTAAAGATAAACTCATGTTGTGGGACGTATCCCCACAAAACCTTCCGTCTGACGGAGAAAGCAGTTTCATGGGGAATGGGAAACAGCAAGTCGCTAAAAGTCTGTTTCCATCAATGCATCTGCAGCTCTAGATTGTTCTTTTTTTTTTTAATGTATACATCAAGAATTGACATGTCTGAAGATGTGCTAATCTTGTTTCAGTAAACTTTATAGGAATTAATCTGATGTAAATAAAGTGCCCTATGAGGTAGAGTTTTCATCTTACTTCTAAATCATTTTCTTTTTTTCTTTAAGGTGCCAGGAAGCCTTACTGTTTCTAAAAAGGATGTTTGCACAGAGCCTCTGTGATTACACCCGCGTACTATAGATGTATATTTATCAAACATGATAATTGAAAGTGTTTGGCCACTGGCGCCCCCCTGTGGTGAAATATATGCTGCATTGCACAACAACAGATTCTAAGACGCGGCAGACTGGATGCTGTCTGTCATGTCGCAGCAGATGTTGGAGGCTTGAAGGTGAAAAGCAGACATGTTTGGGCCAGACGGGATTAACATGACGGAGAAGCCGCGACCCTGCAGAGAGACACACTAATACGACCAGAATTAGGCTTTACATAAGATTAAATTCAAATTAAGCCCCCCCCGTCAGGATTCAGACCTGAGTTTGGGATTAAAACCAAACTCAAGTAAAAGCGCGACGCCACGGATGCGGCTAATGAAGGTCAGATCTGGTGCGTGTGTTCGTTTCTCACCATCCTCCATCGCTTGTCTCATGGCGACCGAGCAGACTCACCGGAGAGGAAGGAAACGAGCTCTGAAACAAAACGAAACAGAAGGATTAAAAGATAAGAAGAGGCGATCTTAAACTACAACCAACACAGTGAAATTCAACAAGACTTTGCAGACAACTTCTCAGACTTTCGTTACTTACAGAGCTCCTGTGTAGTAAATAAGTCTGATTAAACCTGAACCAGGCAGTTCTTCAAAGAAAAATATTTGCTAAGTTAGCGTTGGGCTGTAATTTTACTGATTGTCTTTATGTGAAGAGTTCATTTGGAAGAACAGATAACTCCATCTTCACAAACCTTCAGAAAACCCATCGTCTATCTGAGACAACATCAGTCAAACTTAACTCTATTTTTGTAATTTCTACTGGGTCGAATCCACTCAGCTTCAGTTTGATTGATTTTATCTCAAGCAAACAGCAACAAAAAAGTTTTCTGAAAATCTACAAAAACGCAGCTATCTCTTCATATCCTTTTCTTGTGTCTTGATTTTTCTTAACTGTGTCGGTCTGCAGGCATCAACAGCTCACATATTACAAAAGATGTAAAACAGACCGGATATTACGAGTCCACGTAACAGGTGAGAGGGAAAATGGATTAATAAAGGCTGGCATACAGGTGAACTAGTTGGCTAACTGGTGCAGGTGTGGTCTGAGTGAGGTGAGCCAACACTCACAGCACTGTACTATTTAGTTTAGAACGTTACAGTACATAATAAGTCAGTTGGAGTGCATCAGATATAACAGGGCCTGCATGCTCTGCTGTCCGTTCAGACCCACAATCCTTTGCGTTACAGTGTTTTGCATGAGTATAAACAAGCGTAGGTCACCTATAGTGCACCGGCAGACGACAACAGATGCATGAGCACAACGGTCAAAGCTTAACATTATGACGAAGTAGTTCATCTGAACTGTATACATTCTGCATGGAGCGGCACCAACGAACTGCTGTCTCAGACTTTAGCGCTCAGATGTGATGTTGGTCCCAGTTCAGTTTGCCCACACTGGAAGCAGCTGGCATAAAACTTCTGAGTCATTATTTAAATATCTGCCTCCACTGCTGGTGCAATAATTAAATGGTAAATGGTCTGCACTTATACCTTTTTCTACCTTAGCGGAACCCAAGGCGCTTTACAATGTGTTTTGCATTCACACGTCAATGGTGACAGAGCTGCCATGCAAGGTGCTAATCCACTGGGAGCAACTTGGGGTTCAGTGTCTTGCCCAAGGACACTTCGGCATGTGGGGAGGACCGGGGATTGAACCACCAACCTTGCCATCAGTGGACAACCTGCTCTACCACCTGAGCCACGGCCGCCCCAGCATTCAGTGAGCGTTGCTTAAAAACAACAAAACTGCGAACGCCTCAAAGTGGCCTTTATTAATATGCTACACGAATTCTTACCCTCTGAAGCACTTTTTGTTGTCTGATGTTGTCATGAACGGTTGTTTTTGTGCTTATTATGTCATTGTTGTATACGTGCAGCTGCATCCGGCACTTTTTAGCCCAAGACAAATGTCCTTCGGGGCAATAAAGTTCATCTCATCTCGTCTAAAAAATGGAGCACACTGTAAAAATGGCAAAAAAAAAAAAAAAATGCAGATATCGATTTAACACAGTAAACAGTGACTTTATGGAACAAACTGCTGCTTGTAAAAATACAGCAGCAGTCTGTGGAAAACTCTTTCATCTCAGTTGGCTGAATTCACTCAGTTCATGTGTTTTTTAAGGTTATCTATGCGTGAGTGTCGTTGCTAAACTGAAATGAAAGAAAGAAGAAATATGCAGTTTTGTTTCTCCAAGATTCTTGAAGGAAATGTCTTCAAATGTCTCGTTTGTCTGCCTGTTAGATATTTGGCTTAACCTGATATGAAACAGAGAAAAGTAGGAATTCTTTATGTTTCCAAAACTGAAAACTACATTTTTTTGGTTCATTTTTGCATATTTTTATTTTTAAATTATTTTTTAAAATATAAATGACCAATTATCAAAAAGGATTCCCATTTGATTGTCTGTTAATAGATTAACTCACAGAGAAGGAAAGATGCAAGAAACAGAAAGTGAAAGTTCAGCTTGTGTTATTTCGGTCCTTCCTCTTACAGCAGCAGGTTCCTAAATGTGGGTTAATGTACTTGAGCTTCTTATCTGGCCTCGGCTTCCGATTCCACTTACACTTTCCAGGACCTGACCTCAATTAGTCAATAAAGTTTAACCGATCGGGTCACACAGTGTCCCAGAGAGGTGGTGCCGTGTGAGGTGATGTAATGTAATTAAAGAAGAAATTCAAACTCTGAGATGCTTTAATGGTCTTGTGATACTTTTACTTGTGATAGTTTAGAGGCTGAGGCTGAAGTGAGAGGCTGTAACGTAAGAAAACATAAAGTAGAGGTTAATTGAATTTTAAGAGATTTTAAGAGATACTGAAACTCACTATCACTTGTTAGCCCTGGTGTTGAGTGATTAATTGGTAGTTTAGTCCTCCGTCTTTCTCCAAGTTTACCTTCAGCTATGCCCTCCTGTCCTCTAAACACAGAAACACAGGATCTAAGCCAATCTGACTAAAACCTGCTGCTGAGTCATCTAGTATGCATCTGAGTTCACTGTGAGCAATTTTTGACAAACTGAGAAAATATAAGAAAATTGCTCCTGAAGTTCTCTCTACGGCACTTTGGTCCACTTTAGTCATTTTAAAACATGGCATTTAAATAAACTTTATATGATTTTTGACAATTGTGTACAACATAAGCCAATTTAGATTTAAAAAAAACAAAACAAACAACTGTGTAATTATACTTTTTATTCACCCTACCGGGCGATGATTTTCTACAACGCCGGCATGTTTGAACAGCGTTTGTCTTTTACGCTTTGTTGTAAAAGTTCTGAATAAAATCTCTTGTCCTGTAGTTTCGTCTGCTACGAACTGTCTTTTCACACTGGGATGCATTTCACCAAAAGAGTGCAGACCATCCTGCTTTTGTTGGCTTTTGTTTGTTGCGGAAAATAACACAGAAAATGATTCTTGGGGTAATTTTTAAAACAGCAACACTCAAAGCATCATCTGGAGCACATGTAGTGGTTTGTGAAATACGCTGCTGGAAGGTTTCCAATAAAACTGTTATATATATCGTTGGCGATCAAGTTTGATTTACTGGTTTGCATGTTGTTGTTGTTTTTAAAAGTTAAAACAGACAATATTCTCTGATTTCAGCTTCCTGAAAGGAGGCTGTTCTCTGGTTTCTTTCCACCTCCATGACAGCAAACTTTATCTTTTGGTCGTGATCTTGGTCGATCAACATTTTTTTTGGCATTTTCTTACATTTTGTAGGCCAGACAACTATCGATTCATTTAAAAGATAACCAACAGAGCGACTGAAAATGAAACTGATTCTTAGTCACAGGCCTAAATATATAAAGAAAATCGGTATCGGACATTTTTACGTTCTACATTTGGCATCAGTGTCGTATCACTGGGGCTCTAGTGACAACACCAGCGGAGAACATTCGACTGTGGACTCCTGGTGTTGGTACGGGATGTTCCTACATTTTTATGGCTCTGTTTGACTAGTGTGCATCGAAAAGTGATGGTAAAGGATTCTTATGGTGTCCATCACTTCACCGCTTCCTGTTGTCTATGTAAGCAGTTGTGCAGTGCATTCTGGGAGCATCGTGTTGCGTTTTAACAGATGGGGTCATTTGCACAAAGTTGGGGAAGCAAACTAGAAGCATCGAGTGTTAATCACCGTCTTTGGAAACTTTTTTTAAAAATAACTTTTAAACCAACCGTTGTTGGTCTAAAATGAGACTGGATTCTGTAGCTAGTTAGCTTGTTTCTAGCCACAAACATTTTCAGAAACATGTTTGGGTTTCATAATAGAAAGAAAAGAAAGTTTCCAAAAGAGTTGGTTTAGTTTACAATGTTCTGCAGCCAGTGTTTGCACTGCAGCAGAAGGATGAAGTCTGTATTAGATTCATCTTGTCAAATCTTACAAACCCAATGCTGATGCAAGCCAAACCACTGCACTGTATCATCAGAGTGGTGAAACGTGACACTAAAAGGTCCTGATAAAGCACCATGATAACGCCTCCTTTTAATGTCCTTGGCAGTTTAGCTGTTCCTAATAGTGAACAAACTGAAAAAGCATAGCGAGCATGTTAGCGTTTAGTTCAAAGCAGCTCTTCACATCACCTTTAGGACGTGCTTTCTTCTAACTTTCTGACCTTTTTGACCTCCCAAGGTTTGCAGCTCCACACGAATAAGCCTGACATTCTTAATAATCGTAGCTGGTAAAAGGAAAGGAACGTAGCTGCAGATGAAATGCATCACAAGCTGATGTTTCTGGGCTTTTTTTTATCCCACTGCAGCATAAATTCCTGCATCTCCATGGAAACAGCTCAACTATGGCTAGAAGTAGAGCAAACTCAGAAATGGTGTTTGTTCAGTGTGACACAGTCAGAATGCTATAAATCATAAAAAGAAAGACAAAAATAAAAGATAGAAAATGAATAGTGAGCATGTTCACTTGTAGCTCAGAGGACAACTGTGCAGCCCCACAGAGCCACGAGGAAGGCCATGAAGTCAGAACTATGAGTGATCTTTTCCTGACCTATGCATAAAAAACACACAACTGCTCACATGTAGTCAAACTATATGAGTGTTAAACAAGACCGACTGACCTCCTCCTCCTGTGGTCCAGCTTCGTGATGCTCCTGGTCTCTGTGCTGCAGTGAATCAGCAATGTGAGCGTGTCAGCAGCAGCAGCCAGTGCTGACTGACATGGATGTGAGTTTACTACCAAACTAAAACTGACACTAATCCTACTAACCCGACTTAATCCACCAACCGCCAACCTCGCTCTCCCTCGCTGTCCTGCCCCCACTCCTCTCCTTCTCTTTGCTTTCTTTGGGATTTTTTAAAAATCTTCGTCGTTCCCCAGCTCGCCCTCCGGCCACAACTCAGCTCCTGCCGCCACGTTTGCTCGACCTCCTTGC